GCTCTTCACCCGACCTATCCTCCTTGCCCTCCGGCTCCCCGTCCGAGCCCGGCTCGCCCCCAAGACCGAATCAACGACGCACCTCCTTCAACGCCCCCATTGCAGCCAGCTTCAAAATGGTCCCTCAACAAAGCCCACAGCAGCCTGGCGGCCAGGCTCAAGACTTTTCATTAGAAGGCGTTCGCCTTACCAAAGATGGCGTGCCTCGGAAAAAGCCCGGCCGGAAGCCAGGCACCACCGTCGCAAAAAAGGCAGCAGACGGAACAAATCCCGCAATGGCAACAGCGACTGCTTCTGGATCCGGTGTCGACAAGCTAAAGCGGCCTCGCAAACCTCGGGACCCGAGCGCACCACCTATGGCTCGCAAGAAGCGCGCAACTGGCTCCGATGCAAACGAAACTGTCGGCTCGACGGGCCTTTCGCGGTCTTCGTCAGCCAACATGCACTTCGAGCCTAAGCACGAGCTGACGTCCATGCGCATGGACATTGACTCTCGCCCGGCACCACGCTCTCTTGGCCCATCTGCTATTCTACACCAGCAACCGCGCCAACCGCCATTGACTATGATCGACAAAATGCCGAAGCGGGAGCATCCTCCGAGCTCAATGATGAGCATTTTAAATGCCGACGACTCGCCACCGCGCCCATCCCAGCCAGCGACTACATCTACAACGCCTGTCCGATCTATCGGACAAAGCTATGACCCTGTGCGTTCTTCGACGTACGACCCAGTTCGTGAGACAATGATGTCGCGCGATCCCTACGGCACTGGGCCACTGGGCTCTCCGCGTGCCCCGTCACATGTCACAACAAACCGTGCTAGCGCATCGCCATCAATTGCCAGTCTCGTCGACCCGGCACCCTCGACACATCGCTCACCTGTCGGACAGTTTGCTTTAGCCAGCCAACACTCACCGCCTTCCATGTCGGTCGCTGCTGCTACGACGTCCTCGAATAACCCACCAGTTTCCCGGTACAGAGAAAACGTCCCTTCTCTTCCTCCATCGCCATCCCCGGCACCTCCGATGCGCACGTTCGCCGTGCCAACGCCTTCATCTTCTACAAAGCCTTCTCCTCAGGCCGCACCGAAGTCCAAATCTGCATCGTCAGAGGCAGCACCCCCTATGGCGACGATATCGTCGTTGGCAGATGCTTCGAGACCGCCTTCGGATGCAGCACTTTCTGCGGATGCCAAGTCGGCCGCGAAGAAAGACGCACAAGGACTGAGCAAGTCCAGCAAGCCACCTCCGCCACCTCCTGTTCCTACAGCGGCCAAGACGGCGTCTGGGAAGCCTATGACGACCAAGGCCGCTGAGAAGGCCGCCGAAAAGGCCGAGAAAGCCGCTGAAAAGGCTGAAAAGGCGGCCGAAAAGGCGGCAGAGAAGAAAGCTGCTGCAGCTGCCAAGGCCGCCATTAAGACAGCCAAGGCCACAGCAAAGAGTGCTGCCAAGGCTGCCGGCAAAGCTAGCACCAAGTCGGCTGCTGCCACAGAGGCTTCCGCACCAAGCTCACCGGAAACGTCAACCATATCTAAGGCATCGGACCCTAAGACGGTGGCGAACTCAGAGGATGTTGTGATGTCCGGCACGGAGTCCGCGGCGCCTGCCAACAATGCCCCGCATATCAAGAAGTTTGCTTCCATCCTCCAGCAAGAGCGGGGCGGAAAGAAGAGTGCCGCCTCGTCTCCCAAGCTCACCGCTGCAAAGGGTGACGCTGTAGGTGCTCTCGCTGTTCCGGACGCCTCGCCTCTGCTTGCCGGCAGCGAGCCGGAGCGGTCGATTCTCGACTTTGGAAAGGCGATGCCTGGTGAAGAAAACGTTGTTCCGTCAATTGTGCTGCACATCCCGCTAGTCCAGGGCGAGAGCAACACGTACATCAACTTTATGCGCCTGGCCGAAAATCAGTTCGGCTGGGATGCGCTGCACCCGCGTCTAGCTGCCCACCGGGATCGCAAGCTGCGGATTGCCGCCGCTTCAGCCGCCCTCGAGAGAAACGGTTCCGGCCGCGAATCAGGCGACGAGATGACGGACGACATGCAGTCGGGCGACGAAGGCAGCAACGAGGAAAACGGTGCTGGCGCTGACAATGGCAACGCCACGGCTAATGCCAGTGGCATCGAAGATGCGCCCGCGAAACCTGCTCGCAAGAAGCGGACCTTCAAGGAGGATGAATACGACCGCGACGACGACTTTGTTGACGACTCTGAGATGCTGTGGGAAGAGCAGGCAGCCGCCAGTCGTGATGGCTTTTTCGTGTACTCTGGCCCTCTTGTTCCCGAGGAAGAGAAGCCTGAGGAAGGGTATGTGTTTCTTCTTTATTTTTTTACAGTCTCTTTACTATACAAAGCATACTAACGTTGCACAGAGCCACAACACCCGCAAAGCGCGGCCGCGGCAGCCGCGGAGGACGCGGCGGTGCCCGGTCTGCCGTTGGTCGTTCTGCGGCTGGCCGGTCTACGACGGGGCGTGGCGGCGGACCAGGCTCGCGCGGCGGCACCACATACCGCCGTCCTCGCATGACCAAGGTCGAGAAGGAGCAGCGCGATCGTGAAAAGGCCGAACAAGACGGCACCAAGGCGACGAAAGCGAAGGCAGCCAAGACGGCCAAAGCGGCCGCGGACAGCAATGTCGACACGAGCTCGCCGTTCTCGACCAGCATGGCTATTGATCTCTAGTGCTACTCAGCTGTCTGGTAGAGAACAGGGCACGTTGCCTTGCCCTCTTCTTTTCTTCTTTCCTTTACCTCATTTTTATAGTTTATCATTTTCTTTGTTCTGCGCAACCATTTTGTGCTTTGGCACAGGCGGCTGCCCTATGACATTATGATTGCATTGTCCAACCCACCGGTTGTGGACACGGTTGAATGGGATGGGAATATCCTTTCTGTGGAGGGTTTATAGCATCGTGCTACCACTTGTGTGCTGTCCCTTTTTGTCGGTACTGTTGGTTTCTATTGGCCCCTTCTTTTGTATTTTGAGCGGAGCATTTTTGTACGACGGATTATCCCTTGCCCGATTATCTTGTTGTGACGGCGTTTAAGGAGAAAACGAAGAGGCAGCTGTTTTACATGCCATTTCTTGTGTGTCCTTTGAGGCGAGGGACCTTTTTTATGTTTTGTTTTGTCATGACTGGTATTAGACGGGACGGAAAAGGCACAGCCTGGTTTGGTCTGATTGTGTTGACGTGCTCGTGGTTTGGTTTGGGCAGCATTTGTATCCGGGCAGGTGGGAGTAGGGCTTCATCAAACAACAATCAACAGAAAATCACACGAATTGCAGCAGTCTTGGATGACCAAACCGATTGATGCTACAATTGACGGAATGCATATTGTGAAGTCGCGGTCACATCGCCAGTAAAAACAGGCAGTCGTCAACGCAGGTGCTTCTTTGCTGTCTCGGTTTAATGAAGGCTGCAAGGCCACCCGCCGCCGTAGGACATTTCTTTTCTTTTCCTTTTCTTTCTAATACAAGGCAAATTATGACGGCAATACCAAACCCGGTTATGGTTATGGTTGTCGCGGCCTTTCCAATTTTCGCCCCCCGTCAAAGCCGCCAAACAATGATTACGCAGGTCGGCGACGACAGCCTGCCAAGAACAACCCGACAAGAAGGATGAGCATTCGCTGGATTGACTGGCAACACTGGCCTCGCAGGGAGTGGCCGAGCCGAGCAAGACGGAACATGGAACCATCTCGCGTTGCAGTACGTCGTAGTTCCTGGTTCGTTTTATACGCCACGACGCCTATTGGATAGGGCACTGCCTCTAGTGTGTACTACGTGCTACGTCGTCTGGTCGTAACTTGTTCTTCAGCTAGGCTGGTTGGGCTGTGCCTGATACGATCGTCGTTTTTGCACGTTCTCCATATTGAAAATGAGGTCATAGCCTTTGGAAGGACAGAAAGGGTTCTCGGGTCGCACCCGAAACAAGACGGGGCCACAAGGATGCGATGTTCTAGACAATATGCTCATTGTTCGAATCGGTAGGTATCACATTGACACACGCAGAGCGGCCGCTCCATGGCTCTTGTGTCGATGTCCTGCCGGTTGCCACAAACTCCCCAAAACGGCCAGACCTGATGCCAGTCGTATTCCACGGGCATCGTCCCCTTGTTTCCCATTTCTAAAGATGCAGCTGTGGACCATTCTCTGGTCAAATTACCCCGATCGCGAGCATTAGGATCCGTACGGTAACTTGGCTTTTCTGCCTCTTCTCTTTGTAAGAAGAATGTAAGTAAGCTTGGGCCTTTTTCACTCTGCTCTATGGGGACATTTGTGGTGAGAAGAGAGAAAGCGACGAGAACCGAAAACAAGTCGCAAAATAACGTCATTGACAGTGGCTGTGTGTTTTTCCTGGTTTGTCGTCGTGTGTTCAGTGGTTCTCTGTCTCGTCTGTTTCCTTGGTCTTCCGTCCTTTTTATTGTGGGCTTTCGCAGGCCGGCGACCCGCCCTGTTGCCATCGCGCGCCAATAGCGTGTCTGCAGCAATGTCGTGAGCAGCCACAAGAGGAAAACGACTATCAACATCAAGTCGCCGGATGATGGCGGATCCGGGTCAACGAAAAGCGCCAAGTCACTTGATTCTTGTTGTTTTTCGTGCTTTTCACCTGTTCCTGCATGCGATCGTCAAAAGCGAGCTCCCAGGCCTGGTCGTAAGTACCTCACGGATGCTCTCGGAGTGTGCAAAAAGCAAAAGAAAAGCAAAAAGACGTCAGTGATGGCCTCTCTCTCAATGGCGCAGCGACCGGATTAGGTCTTAGTGGATGCAGAGCTGGACCCTCTGACCCCTCAGTGGCACCCACAGGCCCAGTCAGTAGACTTTGGGCCTATGCCTATGGGCCCTAATGCCCCCAAAGTCGTACAAGAAGGAACCCCCCGCAAGTCCGCTTAATCAGAACCAACTATCAAGAAGGGAATAAAAGGTAACGCCGACGAGATATTCGTCTGCCTTTTGCGCTAAGCTCCCCGGACGAGGGACAACATCCCAGCCGATCGATTGAGAGGACTCAAGAGAAACCAATACGCTCGTCGGCATGCCAAACATCGGTTTGCTGGGCACTTGCTGGACTGCACCGAGCTTTGGTGGGTAAGTGGAGCTGGTCTGCTTGTCGTTCTTTCCCCATCCGAAGATCGCCCAGCACAGCTTGCACAAGCAAAAGAAGCAACTGCGATCGCCAGCAACCATTGCCATCTCCAGCTTTCTCGACGGTTTGCGCCTTCTCTGCGAGCAAGTGTTGTTGGGCTGTTAGACCTAAAGAACCCCACATCTGCCCATCGCTCTTGCCCGAGAACTTGTCTTGTCCGCGCCTACGCAGACACGGCGCACACACTACTCGGGATATGTACCTAGGTACCCTATCTCCTCTGCACCACTCACATACGACATACAAGCCACCACCCACACAACTTGCTCCAAGAGCTCTTGCCTTCAATTTACATCATAGCCCCTCTTGGTGTCTTCGTATCGTTCTGGTTTACGCCCTTTCCCGATTTCTTCTCAAACTTCCGTCGTTCCTCCCCTTGCAGGCCAATTCCGTCCTTTTTGTACTTGTATTCCATTCTCCCTATCCTTTGTCGACGATTCCCCCTTTTTGCCTTCTTCGTCTTCCCTCCTCCACTCCACAACACGACATTCTATCTGACGCAGCGTCTCGCCGTCCCTTTCTCTCATTTTTCGTGAACACCCACCGTCGACCGTCTCTGCCGTCATCCACCCTCGCACACCCTGGTCGGTGTTTTCGTTCTTCCTTTTGTGTCTCGGCTGTTTCCCGCGCTGTTGGCATCCGTCCCGTCTGAGCGACTTTTGTTCGCCCATTTTCTATTGTTTCTCTTCCTGGTCCCAAGTGCACTTTGCCTGCTACCCTTTGACCGCCTCTCAAGCTGTACATTGCCATTGCTCGACAAATCGATTCGTCCCCGAAGACACAGCAAAATCAGCCATTGCAAGCTGACGAGTATTGCGGAGAATTCGAGGCGTCTCTCGCTCCGCACGACCCCTGCAAAACCGAATAAACACTCCTTCGAACGCAGGGCGGCCCAGGCAGAAGTCAGTTTCGCTTTCCCGGTAAACGAACCACACCCAAAAGCTCCGTTCTCCAGTCTCGTTGAAGCAATCTATATTTGGGAACCGGCGCGCCGTTGCTCGTCAATTGCTGCTGTTTACTGTTTATTGTTTTGGTCGTCATTTCGTTTCCGTTTCGCTTTGTCGTTTTGTCGTTTTTTTCGTCGCTTTCTCGACTTTTACTTTGCTGCCTGTGGAGCAATTACGTCGCAATTGCTCGCCGCGTACCGTTCCTGCACAGCAATGGCCCACCCAGGTGGCTCTGGCGCAGGCGCGGGTCCCATCGTGGGCAGTGCGCCTGGCCCGTCGACAGCAACCGCAAACTCCTTGGGCGCGGGTCCGAACGCCAGCGGCTACTTTAACCAGCCGTACTTGCAAGCTGCACAGGCGCAACCACACTCGTACGCCGCGCCGTCCCACATGCCCGCCCGCTCGCCCTACACCGACAGCCAGAACTTTATGCCCTCCACCCAACACGCGCTGTCCCCCGACGACAACCAGACCTACCAGAACACCTTGGCCAACGCGCAGGCCGCCGCTCCCCAGGCGACGCCCGCATCGCAAACCCACCACATTCCCTCCTCGACCCTCGCAACCGGCGGCCGCGACTCGCCCGCCCAACAACAGCAACAGCATTTCTACAGCGCCAGCAACGCCATCGAAGGCGCCAGCGACATTGGCGGTGCCAACGCCAACCACAACCACAGCACCATGGCCGCGGTGAACGGCCGCTTCAACGAGAACTGGGATGCGAGCCAGCGCGGCAGCTCCATCTTGGACGGAGACGGCGGCGCGTTTAGCGACGGCGGCGGTAGCGGCGTCAGCGGCACCAGCACGCAGCTGCCCACCCGGTCCAACACGCTCAAGAAGAAGTCGTCTCTGCGTCGCGCGTCGAGCTTGCACCGCAGCAGCAGCCGTCGCAGCATGAAGGCTGGCAGCGTGCGCAGCCTGGCCCTCCAGAGCCGCAGCGACGGCGACGAGTCCAACAGCGCCTTTTACTGCCCTGTCCCAACCAAGGGCAACCCGACCGAGGTGCTCGCCGGCCGCTTCCAAGCCTGGCGCAAGATTCTCAAGGACCTCATCTCCTACCACCGCGAGATCCAGAACCACTACGAACAGCGCGCCAAGTCCGTGCAGAGACTGGCTACCACGCTCAATGGCACGATTCTCCCACCCGGTTTCATGACGACCGGTGGCCTCGACGATGCCTCGCAGACGCTGCGCAACTTCCACAAACAGGCGGTTGCCGAGGCCGTCAAGGCGCGCGACGTTGAGGAGGACGTCATCCTCGCGCTCACGGGCCTGCGCACTGACCTGAGCCAGAAGATCAAGGAGATCAAGAACATCTCGGGTGACTTTCGCAACAACGTCGACAAAGAGATGGACGCCACCAAGAAGGCCGTCAAGAACCTCCAGGACAACCTGGGCCAGGCCGAGCTCGACTCGTCCGTGACGACCGGCCGCCAGGACCCGTACCTGTTGCGCCTTCTGGCCGATCGCCAGTTGGAGCGCCAGATCCAGGAAGAGAACTACCTGCACCAAGCCTTCCTCAATCTGGAAAAGTCGGGCCGCGAGCTCGAGTCCATTGTCGTGGGCGAGATTCAAAAGTCCTACAACGCCTATGTGGGCATCCTGCGCCGCGAGGCCGACGCCACTTGGAACACCACCGAGGAGCTGCGCGAGGGGCCCATTGCCATGCCCAAGGACCAGGAGTGGTTGACATTCATCCGCGGCAGCGACCAGTTCATCGGCCCGGACATTCCCATCCGCTCCTTCCAGTTCCTTACCTACCCCGGCCAGAACCACTTTGCCTGCCAGGAGATCCGCGCCGGTCTGCTGGAGCGCAAAAGCAAGTACCTCAAGAGCTACACCGCGGGGTGGTACGTGCTCTCGCCCACCCACCTGCACGAGTTCAAGTCTGCCGACAAGATGCAGGCACCTGTCATGTCCCTGTACCTCCCGGAGCAAAAGCTGGGCTCGCACTCCAACGAGGGCGCCTCGTCGAGCAAGTTTGTTTTGAAGGGCCGCCAGACCGGGGGGCTGCACCGCGGCCACACCTGGGTCTTCCGCGCCGAGAGCTTCGACACCATGATGGCCTGGTTCGACGACCTGTACGTATTGACCGAAAAGACCCCACAGGAGCGGGAGAACTTTGCCCGTGGCCACCAGATGCAACACACCCGCAGCATCAGCCGCGCGTCCCAGCACACCTACAGCAGCGACGGTGTCGTCAACGAGGACGACGATGAGCCCTTTGCAGTGAACTCGCCGGCGGCCATGGCGGGAGCCGCAGCCGGTGCTAAAGCGGCCGAGGATGCCACGGCCGGCCAAACCGCCGGCCCTGCCGATCAACCGGGTAACAGTGCTGCTGGCATTGGCGCACCCCCTGCGCAGGCGTCCGTGGTGGACCAGACCGATCCTGGCATCATTGGTGGCACTGCGAACGAGATACAGACCCCGGCTACGGGTGTCTCCTCCCAGTATCGGTCCCAGTCAGCGGCGTCCTCCGGCCCCTCCCGCCGCCCATCCCAGGGCGGTCGCTTTCCGTCGGACCTCCAGGTAAATGCGCAGCGGGGCCTGGAGGTGCAAGCCGCCGGTATTCCAGTCTCACCCACCAGCGCCGGTGGTTCGGGCTCGCAGCGCGGCTCCGCCACCGCTGCCGACTCCACCTATGGCCACCTGGGCCCCTCTGATACGGCGGCGACGGCGGGTGTCCCTGCCGTCTCCCTCGCGCCGGGCTCCGACTACGGCGTGATCGCTGCGGCAGGCCAGGTCCCGGGCAGTCAACAGCACGACATGGCGCCGGACAACTATGACAACAACTACAATAGCAATTACGGTGCGTATGGTGTCACAGCCGGTGCGGGGGCTTTGGCGGGTGTTGGTGCCGCCTACGGTGCCGAGTCTGCCTACGATGCCCCGCAGCAACAGCGCCAGCAGCAAGAGCAGCGAGAGTTTTTGGCGCAAAAGGAGCAGACCGAGCGCGAATGGCAAGAACTGCGGGACCAGCAGGAGCAGCTCCGCCTGGACCAGCAGCGCCTGCGTGAGCAGCAAGAGCAGCAGCGCCACCAGCTGTTGTTGGTGCAGCAGCAGAAGCAGCAGCAGCAGCAGCAGCAGCAGCAGCGATCTGTTCCAACAGAACGGCCAGCACAGCCGGCACAGCCGGCACAGTCGACACAGCCGGCAGCGGGCACATCCCAGGCCGCCCTGGCGTCCCAAGCACAGCAGGCCCCCGCCACAGTGGCGCCCGTGATTCCCATGTTTGTCAATATCAACGAGAAGAGCGACAACAGCAAAGACAACACCAACAACGCTGTGACCTCGGCCGACCGCACCGCCACGGGCACCGCCACGGGAACGGGCAGCGGCAAGGCCTTTGACAGCAGCAGTGCCGTGCCGGGCGGTGTGGCAGGTGGTGTTCTTGGTGGTGCCGCTCTCGGCGCTACTGGTGACCACGGCTATTCCACCGGCGTCGCCCGCGAGCAGCAGGTCTACCGGTCCAACTCACAGCAGGGGCAGCCATCGGCCGAATTCACCGCTGTTGGCAACGGCAGTGCTGATCCGACCAAGTCGATGAACGCAGGTGCACGGCCGTCGCTGGCCGATCGAACGACCAGCAGCGGGACGACACTGTCGCACCTGCACGTTCCCGGCGAGTTCCCCAAGACATCTACCGAGAGCCGTTGATCTGGCATATCATGCCAGTATTTTGTACGATGCATTTGTTTTCATTGGTTTCTGTCTTTTGTCTATTTGTCATTTTGAATTTGCTGCATCAAGTACCCTGGCTGGAGGAGGGAGTCACAGGGGGTTATGAAATACAGCAGGGCGTTTTTGGTAATTTTATATATTTATTTTGATATTTGGTCCTTTTTGGTTAGAGGAGACATTGGTCTGTACGTTTCTGTGTATTGCCTGCGATTGCATTTGACAGGGAGCTAAGAAGGAAAAGGAAGCTTTTTGATGCTTCTGGGGATTGGGGCTGACTCCTCGTGTCGGCACAAGAAAGAAATACACGCAGTGAGCAAGACCGAGGGCCAGCTCCAAGCAAAGAAAGAAACATATACCAAGATATACAACAATACTATTGCTTTCATATCCCCCCCAACACCCAAGTATCCAGCCGCAACTTGAGCAGCCATCCATGTGCATGTCTGCTGCAGTCAATCAATATTTGGTCACCTCTTTGTTCCACGGCCTTTCGTTTAACTTTTCTTGGGTTTATACGAATGGAAGTACCGAAGGGGTCGGAGCTGCATATACGAGGCGTTGCTGTGGTTGCTGTGGTTGGCCCTTTCAAAACGACAGAAAATAAACAAGTCATAGGCGGGAAGGATCAAGGACCCTGCTGTGCTTGTGGTTGAGTCCGTACTGAACGTGACTTTGTTTATATTTAGTTTCAGATGCAGCGGTGTCGTGAAGATGAAGACCATTTATGTTGCTGCTGGATGCTTCCGCATTGTGTCTCCCACACTTGATGCTACCAATTGCACAATTCCCGATGGAGAGCAGTCTAGAAGCCGAGAGAGTAGTAGGTGTTTTCGTCAAGGCGGTCAATGCATTTTGGGTAGCGCGCATGACTTGTCCGTTATTGGCAGCAGTCGTGCAGTCCGTCCTCGCGCGTTGCGTTGCTTTTCTTCATCGTACTTTCTAACCTCCCCTAGCTCGTGAGCTTGTGAGCTCGTGAGCTCGTGTCTCAATATTGGGGATGTCCGAGACACCAATCGAAGGACAGGAACGGTATTACCAAGAAGGACGAGAAACATCTGCCCCTGGCCTGACGTGTGTTTGTGTTGTGTGTTGTGTCCTGTGGTCTTCCTTCTGCCGACGTCGTACGAAGAAAATGACCAACCACACACACCATGCCCACTAGATGCGCCTATTTATGCATGTTTGTTCCGTTTTCATTTTCTGTCTCGTTCACATGTGCGAATTAATTGCTGGACTCTCTCAGTGTACTTTGCTGCGTTCTCGTTCACAGACATAGAAAGTAAACAATCACGACATCCACAAAAAATTATCATGACGGAAGGGATGCAAGAATAACTCGTTTTAATGGTCACCTTGCATCTTTCGCCTCGCCATCAAGATGACAAAGAGTGGTCGTTGCTAAAAATACCGAGGGGTCGGTACACAATAGAAAGCGTCTGAGACATGGAAACGGAAATCAGAAATAGGAAAGGCTGTATATGACGGCGAGGGAACGTCCCAAAGCCAATCCCACCTGTCGATCCATTTCTCGGCCAAATTCGAAATTGCTCTGCCACGCCGGTCCAGTGGTTTCCCTGTCTACCAAAAACGAGGCGTGTTTTGGGGGGGGGAAGGTTCTGTTTTTTTTTCTTCTTTCTTTGTCACTTTGTCAGCTTTTTTTTTGTTTTCTTTTTTTATCTCCTCCTCGCATCGTGGACCGCTGTGAGCACGGCATTGGTCTACACAAGAAAACAAAAATAAACGAGCGCAACTACGGATGCAGGCCGCGAGAGGAGCACTGGGCGTGATACAGTGAGGCAGTCTTTTTTATAGTTTTTGTCAACCAGGTTTAGGACTTCTTTGGTTCGTTTGGGGGAGATGTGCCGTCTCGCATCGATGCACTTTCAATGCACTTTCAATGCACTGTCAATGCACTGTCGATGCACGGTAGATGCCGCAGATGCTGTGCTGTCGCCTTGCGGTTAGTAACAGTTGTCGGCGACGATCCTTTCCTCTTCTCGTCATGGTCAATTCCAAGTCTTGCACAACACCCGCAGGAATGCAAATGCAAGACGGACGGCCAACGTCTGTACACTGCGCCGTACGTTTTTGTCTTTTAAGCTTCACACAACGATGGCCTGCGGCGCAGTTCTTCCAGGAGGCCAAAGCGCACAATGCATCCAAGCAACGATTACGTGCACAAATCGACCCAAGGACATCGCTGCTTTTGCCGCCGAGGCACTCTGGTTTTCCTTTCGTTTGGTAAGGTTTCCTTTTTTATCACTCTTCTACACAAAGGATGTCCCGCGCAACCCCAGAACGGGTGATCCGCGCCTCGGGAAACGAGCAGATCGACGGCCACTCAGCCGCAACGCCAACCCTTGAGTCGATCGTTGGTGGAGGAGTGAGGATCAATGGGAGCATCGCCAGCCACGCGTCTGTGACATACAATGTACGCTACTCACTTGTATACCCTCTATGTCGTCACCATCCTCGCCATCCTCGACGACGTCGCCTGTTTTGTCTTTCCTTATTCGGTGGTCATACTCGTGCCCGTCACTATTATTGGCTCTCAGCCGCATGCACTGTCCCGAGCGGAAGCAGAACACCAAGTGAGACTGTACGGAGCACGGACGTCTGTCGTACAGTACGGACAATACACATAACGCGGTTGACGGACGAAGAGCCGAGGATAGAAGACCCCAAGGTCGACTTGTGGCCATAAATTGGCCAGCCGTGGAGAGATTGTGGAACGGGAAGTAGACAAGTAGACAAGTAGCAAGAAAGAAGAACGAAGAAAATTCCAAGGTATTACCTGCTTCTCACTCGTTTTCTTTCTCTCCGCGAGTGCGCCCGAAATATCTGGCGGTGGTTGGTAGCATCCAGAACGGGGCTAGGGCGTGCATCCAAGTCCCCGAGTCTCAGTCGGCCAGGACACGCAAGACACTGTTTTCGGACCCGTGGGTCGTCACATTTTTGTCTCACTCCAGGCAGAGCCACACCCTGCGCTGCAGCCTTTTTACTGACAGACGACAGTAGGAGTGTAGGAACCGCCACGATGCACGGAGCCCTATGTCTTACCATGGAATACCAACCACCACCACATCTGCAAATCCATCAAGAGGCCTGGCCAGCACCACTTCACTTGCACTGACACTCTCCAGGTTCTCCCTTTCTTGTCCATGCCCCGTACAGCCCCCGCTTAAAAGACACCCCGAGGCCGGTCCGTCGGCCAATGGACACTTGTAGCTGGGCCGTTTGGTCCCTCGTAGATCCTCTCGTCTGGATGGTTGGTCGACTGTCAACGCAAAGCAAGAAAGAAAATCAAAGAACAAGGAGGAAACGTGACGATCAGAGGCCGGGACAGGGACGTCGCTCCTCAGCCTTGCCTATTTTTCGAGAGACGCCGGCCTTCCTTTCTCCAATCTCTGCCCGTGCAATATCGATCTTGTGAACGTTTGTATGACCTTTCTCATATCATCCTTTCGCCGACTCTCACATCGCTCATCAACTCGCATCAACTCTCGCCTGCATCGCCCAACTGCTTCAACGGCCGCAGTCGTTCGTTTCGCCCCGAGTGCGACGCCAGATAGGGAACACCCTATGAACAAAGAAAGACCATAGACCTCATCGCACACACACACACACACACACACACACACATACACCCCTCGCAACATCACCATCTTCGCCTCCTCTCACGCCCTCGTTTCTGCATCCTGTCGTGCCCGCCCACCGTGCCCGTTGTACACAGAATCCGGCCACCAAACCTCCAACGCCACAGGCTCGTGGCTCGCTCACGTCGCGAACACATAAACAGACAACCCACAGTCGTTTGCATCTCCACTCTTGTAAGGTGGCTTCTCTACTCTCCTCGCATCCTCTCCTGTCCATCTCCGACGCCAGCCTCCATCCAACCAGACTGGCTGTTGCTTGTGTCACGGACAAGACTTGTGCAGCACACCCAACCTCAGCACGACCGCCCGGCCAACGCCTCGGAGGAGCAGGTGGCAGGGATCCGTCTTGTTGTTCTCTGCTGCCTTCGTCCTGCAGCTGTGCTGTCCGTATTTGCACGTCCCAGTCCACAGGCGGCACATCATAAAAGATCCGCCTTCCTGGGTTCGGCAACCGAGCATCTTCCCTTTTCTCTCTGTCCTCTCTTTTCCATCTTCCGCATTCTCTCGCCTTCTTGTCACAGTATCTCTGATATGGCTCGGCACACTTGCCCTGAACCTTGACCAGTGATTGTTGAGACGGAACAAAACGAACCAAAACAAAACATCCCTCAGACACACGTTGAAACAAGATGTCCTTCCGCGAGAGACGGCGGTCCACGCCACTGCCCGTCGCCTCCGAACCCACCGTCGATTTCCAGTCTGCCACCGAGGCCATGCAGCGTGCCGCCGACGCCATGATTGCTGCCACCGAGTCGTTCCGCCAGCAATTTCACCAGCAGGACATAAACACCTCCGGCCAGGGTTCTCAGAGTAGCGAGGGCTCTGGTTCAGGGTCTAGGTCTGGTTCCGGTTCTGGCTTCGCTTCCAGTCCCAACACAATCTCCGGTTCCGCCGCCAACCGCGCCGCCTCGGCCGCCTCCCACCGTACAACCGCGTCGGGCCGGCGGCGGGCCGTGTCCTATCAGCAACAGACCACCACCTACCAGCCGTACCGTCCGCCCTCGACCGACGCTGCTCCGCAGAGCACCGTCTACCCTCCATCCCCGGCGGTGCCCAGGCCAGGCTCGGCCGCCAGTGCTTCACAGATAAACCACGCCTATCCGCCGTCCGTCCATCGAAACAACAGCACCACACCCACCCATTCGCACTCCCAGTCCCTGCCGCACCCCAATTCCCATCCCAACACCAAACTCAGCCCACGCAACCCCTACCACACCTACCGCGCCGCCCGCAGCAGCACCGGCTCTCCGGCCCCGCCCGTCTCGTTCCACAACAACAATGCAGCGTCGCATCTTCACATGAGCGGGACGACCGCCAGCATGCCTTCCGTGCCCCTGTCTGAGTTTTATACAGTCAACCCCGATACGGCGGCCACAATGCCGCCCGGGTCCGGGCCTGCACCCGCACTCGCACGAACCCCCGCGCCTGCTCAGCCCGTCATGCTCAACAATTCCACCATCCGCCTGGTCGAGCTGCCCGGCCCGCTTGCGATGCACCCGCTCTCAAACGATCCGCAGCAGCCGCCACGGGCTCTCCAGCAGCAGTCACAGCAGCAGCAACAACAACAACTACACCAGCAAGAACAACAGCAACAAGCGGCTGATGCGTCGACATCATCAGCCAACAACGTTATTGCTCAACCAGCTGCATCCGCCGCCTCGGCATCGATCCCGCGCCCATCCACCTCGCGTGCCTCCCACGCCAGCTTCTCCCTCATGCCCAAGGTTCCCAACTCCCCAGGCGCCGGGCCCTCGCGGCGGCTAACCCTGACACCTCCCGTGGCTCCGCCTGTCCCACCTCCTGCCGCAGTCGTCAGGCCGTCGTCCTCGAGCAATCCCGCCGGCGGCCACCGCCCCTCCATGTCCTCATACATCGACCTCATCGAGGCTGCCTCCCGCCTCAAGCGCACCCACTCCTACCAGGGCGGCGCGCACGCCGGTGAGCTGATCCCACGTGACGCCTCCTATACGCCGGTCACCCCGGGCGGCGTGACGGACGACGGTGACGGCACGGCCGGCGAAACCACCGAGGTCGAGCGGGGGCGTGACCGCAAGCACGACAGGGCCCAGGATCGATATCGCGAACGCGAACGAGACGCTAAAGTCGCAGCCGCAACCGAAGCTGCAGCCGAACACGAGCCGGAGCCTGTCCTGCAGATCGGCCGCTACACATATGTCCGCTCCGATTCCGGCGACCACGACTACCGCGCGTCGCTGATCCGCGACGATGGCTCGCGCCGGTACACCACGCGGCCCGTGACGCGCAACAGCCTAGTTGGTGGCGGCAGTCTCGCGGGCAGCCTGCGGCGGCTGCCCTCCCTGCGCCGCCCCCCGCCCAAAACGCCCTCGCCCAATGCCCCGCATGGCTTTTCCTTGCTGCACGAGGCGCTGTTTGTGCTTGTCGTGTGCCTGTCGCAGGTCCTGATGCTGGCCGGCATCGCCCAGGCCCTTGTTCCTGCGCAAGCCATGAGCCGCTCCTTCCCCGACGCCAGCCCGGGCAACATTGCCTGGTACACCGCTGCCTATGGCCTGACGTCTGGCACATTTGTGCTCCCGGCGGGCCGCGTGGGCGACCTGTTTGGCCACCGGCGCGTGTTTGTCATTGGTTTTGTCTGGTTTGCCGCCTGGAGTCTGCTGGCGGGGTTCACGCCAGCCGTCCAGCACGCCGGCGGCGACGCGGCCACGTCGCACAGAGGCACCACCCTCTTCATCGTCTGCCGCGCCATGCAAGGCATCGGCCCGGCCATGCTGGTGCCCAACGGACAGGCCATGCTGGGCCGCGCCTACCCGCCCGGCCCCCGCAAGAACTTGGTCATGTGCCTCTTTGGCGCCTCGGCACCCGTGGGCTTCGTGGCCGGCGCCGTCATGTCGTCGCTGTTTGCTATTTACGCCTCGTGGCCGTGGGCCTTTTGGACGCTGGCCGCCGTGTGTGTGGCCCTGGCCGCCGTCAGCATGCTGGTGCTGCCAGCCGACGAGGTCAACGTCCAGGAGCTGAACCCAAAGCGGGCGACGATGGACACCATGCACACCATGGACACCTCCCGTCTCGACGACGACGACGACAACGACGACGCGGACGACGCCGTTTTCTCCAAGAAGAAGGTGACCGCGCAGGAAAGCCTCTGGGTGCGCATGGACGGCATGGGCATTCTGCTGGGCGTCGCCGGGCTGGTGCTCGTCAACTTTGCGTTCAACCAGGCGCCCATTGTCGGCTGGGCCACGCCCTACACGTACTTTTTGCTCATCTTGGGCCTCTTCTTTGTTGCCGCGTTCCTCTACGTCGAGGCCTTCCAGGCCGTCTGCCCGCTCGTGCCGCTCGCCGCCATGCGCTGCACCACCAACTTTGTCCTGGGCTGCACCGCCACCGGCTGGGGCTGCTTCTCCGTCTGGGTCTACTATGCCGTCCAGATGTTCGAGACCCTGCGCGGCTGGTCCCCGCTCATGACCAGCGCCGCGTTCGCGCCCGCGCCCGTCACCGGCCTGCTGGCCAGCCTGCTGACCGGCGTCCTGTTCAGCCGCGGCGTCAAGCCCCATTGGGTCATGCTCCTCAGCATGTTTGCCTTTTTCGTCGGCAGCCTGCTGTTTGCCACCTCCGCGCCCGACCAGCTCTACTGGTTCAACCCCTTCTTCAGCATCCTCATCATGCCCTTTGGCATGGACATGTCCAACCCGGCCGCCATCATCCTCGTCAGCAACAGCGTCCGCCGTGAGCACCAGGGCATCGCCGCCAGCCTTGTCGTGACATTTGTCAACTACGCCATCTCCTTGGCCCTCGGCATCGCCGGCTCCGTCGAGGCCGGCGTCTTTGACGCCGACAACCTGCTGGTCGGCTACCGTGCCGCGCAGTACTTTGGCCTCGGCCTGGGTGGGCTGGGCATTCTGTTCGGGACCGCGTTTTTGTGCCAGAGCTACCTGCGCACGCCACCGGCCTCTCCAGTGTCGGACGAGAAGGCCGGTCGTATTTGAAGGTCGCTGAGACTGAGGTGGCAGAGGTGTTGAGGTGAAAGGTGAAGCAGTGAGACCTACGAGTGGGATTTAACGAAAGAAGTGAGAAAAAGGGGGCTTAGAAAGGGACATGGAAGGAGCACTCGCTCAGGAAGGAACGTGTGATGTTTGGCTCTCGTCGCATTTGCTAGGAGTTTTGGATGATTTTGGCAGGTACATTTGAACACAACATATTCGGCGGAAAGTGCGTTTGACACTTTTGTGTTTAGGACGCAGCATTTTGTGGAGGGGAAGGAGCGATTGTCACTTAGACAGCGATGACACTGCTACTGGAACAACATCTCTGATAGCAGCATGAGTTTTGATTCTTTTTAGATAGATAGAAAATAAAAGCTGTGATTAAGGAGACATATGATAATATCGTCAGGTAAAATCTGTGGCTTTCCACATAGTATCGGCACCGGTCTTCAGTAGGTAACTAACTGTAACGCTAAAATACAGCGCTGGACAGCCTGTAAATCGCCACAGCAAAGGCAGGCGCAAAAGAGTCCGTCTTAATTGATGCCCCACTTTTTCACGCCATAACGCGCAATGGACGCGTCGAAGAAGCAGGCGCATGTGCCACACTGCACGCCTCTTGCCCGCTTCGTCACTTGCAGTATCTTAGCTGCATGCAAACGCACACTTCCAAAGCAACGCAGCTCGCCGTCCGACCACCATTTGCGCATATTTACGGGATACGACCCACGACAGCTACGACCACGAAATAATACACGGCCGTGCGCATCGTCGGCTTGTGTCTTTTCGTCTTCTCGACAAGATTCCTCCCCTCATCACGTACTGACCGCCACCATGGGTATCAAACAGCTCTTCCAGATTGTCAAGGAGGAGGCGCCCGATGCCGTCAAGGAGGGGGAGATCAAGAACCAATTTGGCCGGAAAGTAGCAATTGTGAGTGCGCAGGGGAGGCGATGGGACTCGAAACGAGAGGCCCCGGCAGTAGCTAACACGGTCACAGGATGCGTACGTTCCGACCCGACGAGACGACGACCGAACGAGGCGACTCTCTCCTCCATGTACACGCTACACACAATCGCTAACACACACCCCCTAGATCTATGAGCATCTACTCCTTCCTGATAGCCGTGCGCTCCGACGGCCAGATGCTGATGAGCGAGGCCGGCGAGACCACATCGCATCTCATGGGCATGTTCTATCGCACACTGCGCATGGTCGACAACGGCATCAAGCCACTCTACGTTTTTGACGGCGCGCCGCCCAAGCTCAAGTCCGGCGAGCTCGCGCGCCGTTACATGCGCAAACAAGAAGCCACCGAGGGCCTGGAGGAAGCCAAGGAGACGGGCACGGCCGAAGACATTGAGAAGTTCTCGCGCCGCACCGTCCGCGTCACCCGCGAGCACAACGAAGAGTGCCAGCGCCTGCTGAAGCTGATGGGCGTGCCGTTCCTCGTGGCGCCCACCGAGGCCGAGGCCCAATGCGCCGAGCTGGCCCGCGCTGGCAAGGTGTACGCCGCCGCCAGCGAGGACATGGACACGCTGTGCTTCAACACGCCCATTCTGCTGCGCCACCTGACGTTCAGCGAGCAGCGCAAAGAGCCGATCCAGGAGATTCACCTCGACAAGGTCATGCAGGGGCTCGGCATGGAACGCCCGCAGTTTGTCGACCTGTGCATTCTGCTGGGCTGCGACTACCTCGACCCCATCCCCAAGGTCGGCCCGCACACGGCCCTCAAGCTCATTCGCGAACACGGCTCGCTCGAGAAGGTCGTCGCGTTCATGAAGTCAGACAAGAAGCAAAAATTCGTCATCCCCGAGGACTGGCCCTACGAGGACGCGCGCGAGCTCTTTTTCAAGCCCGACGTGCGCGCCGCCGACGACCCGCTGTGCGACTTCAAGTGGGACCGCCCGGACATCCCCGGCCTCGTGCAGTTCTTGGTCAACGAAAAGGGCTTCTCGGAAGACCGTGTGCGGTCGGGCGCGGCGCGTCTCGAGAAGAATCTCAAGGGCACGCAGCAGCAGCGCCTCGAGGGGTTCTTCAAGGTGGTGCCCAAGACGGAGGCGGAGGTCAAGGCGCAGAAGCGCAAGCTGGACGAGAAAAACGAGGAGAAGAAGAAGCGGCTCAAGGAGGAAAAGAAGGACAAGGCCAAGGCCAAGGCAAAACCTCGGGGCGGTGCGTAAAGGCACACGTAGAGCAAGATGAGCAAGATGAGCAAGGTGATGATGACAAAAGAACGGCACATGGAAGCTGGGCCTGGACGCTTGGCCTGGAAGCCTCAGAACCCAAAGAACAGCCTGGGGTATTGGTCCATCAGAGAGGAGGGGCGTGGGGAAGGCCGAGATGAGGTCGCCCACGCAGCGACGAAAGACATACACCAAAGCGCAGCAGAGGCGGGCCGGGTCCCTTGTGATAGTCAGGGGTCATCCATCATTGCATGGCCTATGCTGATTTTCTTTTTTCCGTTATGCCCGTCTCCTTTCTCTTCATTTTTTGGTATTTTTGGTTCCACACGGGACTTTGCATTTGGCGTTGTTCTAGGGCGGATCTCCACCGTCGGGGATACATTATGGATAGGGAAAATCACATGGAATATTTACTGCTGACGGATAGAGACAGGCCTGGTACTATCGAATGTGGTACAGAACGTTTTTGGGGACTGGTGTACAACAGTAGTTTGGTGTGGTTTGGAGCACAGTTTGGCACAGCCTGACACCTGCCACCAAAATCTACGGCAGACACGCCAAAGGCCACGAGACTATCTGTGGCGTGCCTCGGCAGGCCCACCCAATCACACGACGCCAATGCGATCTTCTCGAGACAAAATGACATCAGCGCCTTGTGGGAAGGAGCCACCGGCGAAAGCATACGACCTTGAAATTCTGAGCATCACATGCGCTTGGCACTGCCCAAGCTGGCTGCGCCCGTGTTCATTCCATGCGCCAGGGAAATGTCTTTACATTGCGTCTGATTCGCCGTCTTTGGATTGCCGTTCTCAATGACATGTTTTATTTGCTGCAGGCAAATGTACGACATTCACCATGATTCTCTTTGTACCCCGGCTTTTTGGCCTCCTTCCCTTTCCCTGTTGCGAAAGTCGTTTGCGCCTTCTCTGCTGTGAAAGTTTTCATGTTACCAGTCGCTCTTTCCGCTTGTAGCCCTCTGAAGACCGTTCCTGCTTGTACAGAAAACTATCACTGCGTGCACCCCACACATTCCAGTGCATTGCTCCTGCCACCTCGGTGTGCGCAGATCTCGCTGCAAACAGCAAAATGCCACAGCGTGTCCTCGACAGCGGCGTGGTTTCCCTTTTGGGCCTGGAGCACGTACACTAATCCCACACTCGCACGGTGCAGTTTTGGCGCTCTAGTGGACCGTGGAGCCGCTTTGTATGGAGCTTAGGCGCTGCTATGCCCCGGACCCCACGGGCCACAGCCAATGATGGTGTGCGAATTACGCTTACACCCCACACTCTCCAAACGTGTCGAGGAGTGATCGCACTGCGCACTGTCTTCAACACTGTGTTTCCGTCAGCGCGACAGGCCCAGACAGAACACAAGCTTGCAGCGGCTTTCTTCAATAGCTCATTCATTCGCATGTGATCGGCCTTGGTGCACTTGGGCGGCCCAAGAAAGTTGCCGACCACGCCGTCCCGATTACTTTGCCATCGTGCCCTTTTCCCTTTAAGCCAACAGATCCTTTTATTTCAAGTCTTCCTTCTTTCTTCTTTTCCTTCATCTCTTTCATTGTCTTTCCTCGACCTTTTCTTCCCGTCCATATACCCATTCGTTCTCCATTTTCATCTTTACCCTTCCTCCCTCTTCTACATCGTCATCTTCTCTCCGACCTTCACAATGTCGAAGACGTTCACACAGGCCGAGGTTGCCTCGCACAACAAGCCCGACTCGCTGTACATCACGGTCGACGGCGATGTTTACGATCTGACCAAGTTCCAGGATGACCACCCGGGTATGTGCTCTCTCGTTTATGAGCTCGACTTGCGTTGAAATGCGCACAACGTCCGCAGCAATGCCCCTTACTAACGTCCATTTTCTAGGTGGCAAGAAGATCCTCGCCCGCGTCGCCGGCAAGGATGCGTCCAAGCAGTTTTGGAAGTACCACAACGAGGGCATCCTGAAGAAGTACCAGCCGCAGCTGCTGGTTGGCTCGCTCGACACCAAGCCCAAGGCCGACGCCCCGGCGCCCAAGCCCAAGCCTGCCGCGCCCGCCCCGAAGAAGGCCGAGGCTAGCAAGCCCGCCGCGTCCCACGAAGAAGTCGAGCCGCTTGAGCCATTCGGCAGCATCATCCCCTTTGCCGACCCTGGCTGGTATCAGAGCGTGAGTCCACCCCATCCATGTTTTCCCTGCTGTTTGACGGATGGCTTGCTAACTTTTTGCAGTACCGCTCCCCCTACTTCAACGAGACCCACGCTGCCCTCCGCGCCGAGGTGCGCGAGTGGGTCGACTCCGCCATCGAGCCCAATGTCACCGAGTGGGATGAGGCCCGCCTGGTGCCCCCTGAGATCTACAAGGAGATGGGCCGCCGCGGCTACCTCGCCGGTCTGCTGGGTACCGCGTACCAGAACGACTACACCGAAAACCGCGTCCAGAGTGTGCCCACCGACAAGTGGGATCTCTTCCACGAGATGCTGCTGACCGACGAGCTGTCACGCTCGGGCTCGGGTGGTTTCGTCTGGAACGTGATTGGTGGTTTCGGCATCGGCTGCCCGCCGCTGGTCAAGTTCGGCAAGAAGAGCCTCAAGGACCGCATCCTGCCGGGCATTCTCAACGGCGACAAGCGCATCTGCCTGGCCATTACCGAGCCCGATGCGGGCTCCGACGTCGCCAACCTGACCTGCGAGGCCAAGCTGAGCGAGGACGGCAAGCACTACATTGTCAACGGCGAGAAGAAGTGGATCACCAACGGCATCTGGTCCGACTACTTCACGACGGCCGTGCGCACGGGCGGCGAGGGCATGAACGGCGTCTCGCTGCTGCTGATTGAGCGCTCGTTCGGCGGCGTCTCCACGCGCAAGATGGACTGCCAGGGTGTCTGGTCCAGCGGCACCACCTACATTACGTTCGAGGACGTCAAGGTCCCCGTCGAGAACCTGATTGGCAAGGAGAACCAGGGCTTCCGCGTCATCATGACCAACTTCAACCACGAGCGCATCGGCATCATCATCCAGTGCCTGCGCTTCTCGCGCGTCTGCTACGAGGAGTCGGTCCGCTACGCGCACAAGCGCCGCACCTTTGGCAAGCGCCTCATCGACCACCCCGTCATTCGCATGAAGCTGGCCCACATGGCCCGCCAGATCGAGGCCAGCTACAACTGGCTCGAGAACATGATCTACCAGTGCCAGACCATGAACGAGACCGAGGCCATGCTGCGCCTTGGCGGTGCCATTGCCTCCCTCAAGGCCCAGTCCACCATCACCTTTGAGTTCTGCGCCCGCGAGGCCAGCCAGATCTTCGGTGGTCTGTCCTACTCCCGCGGCGGCCAGGGCGGCAAGGTCGAGCGCCTGTACCGCGACGTGCGCGCCTACGCCATCCCCGGTGGCTCCGAGGAGATTATGCTGGACCTGAGCATGCGCCAGAGCTTGCGCGTGGCCAAGGCCACGGGCATGAAGCTGTAAAAGGATATGAGGGTTTTTGGTCTATTTCTTTTGCTTCTCTCTTGGAAAAGCCGTTGCTTCCACGCTGTATGATTTCTATAAGGCACCTTCTGTACAGGCCGGCCTTTGATGTTTCTTCTAATCGTTCTTGTAATCGTTTTTGCATATCTTCGATTCTCATCTGTTCTTTTGTACCGAGAAATTTGGGCACACTTTAGATACATCAATCAAAGTCTGAAAAGAAAAAGAAAGTGTGGCATTGTCATTTTCTTATGCGAAAGTGAAATACCGTCATGTGACAGAATGTGGACTGTCCGTCAAGGAAGGTGCGGACGCTTGTGTTGCGCCTTCCCGTTTCTATTCACTACTGTCATGTAAACAATGGCACCATCATCGCCAGTTAGTTTAATATGCTTAGCCTCCCTTTCGTCTTCATCTATGCACTATATCAATCTACATCACACTCTTAAACTAAATCTAATAATCAGAGAGCACTTTCCCGACCTAGGCCTGCATTGCAGAGTGCCATTATCATTTAGGTTTTATCTTCATTATCTTCCGTTCGCTACTTTTCTCTGCCATTGCATCGCGTTCTTTTCTCCCTACGACGTTCAACTCTAATTACCTTCTCACCCCCTTTTGACGCAAAATGACCTCTCATGAACCATCACCACCATTGGTGCCTACCGCCGCATTTGCCTCCGCCCTCTCCCGAGTGGTAACTCCCGCAGACCGGGCCAAAAACGTCACAGAGTGGGTGCATCGGCTTTCAAGAGCGTCTACCGAAAACTCCTCAACAAACATGCCAGCCCTGGCGAGAACTCCGAATCGAAGAGGAAAACGCCGCCAACACCGGTCTCTAGACGGTGCCTAGACGGCGCCGATAGACTGCGGGTACAATGCAGCCGTCCTTGCACCCGCACCGGATCCTACTCCTAAATCGATTGCTCGATGCCCCCTCTCCTCAGAACAACGCGAAGCTCTTTCCGCTTTACAGGACCTACAGAACGCCGGTTCTGACGAATTGTCTGCCGACGAAGACGACACCGTTGAGAGCACAGCTCCTCAAGACCATCGCACTGGCTCGGCGCAGAATGAAGATGGAAACAACGCCAGCAGCACCAACATGGATCCCCAGGTGACCCAGCTGCACATCGCCATCCACGAGCGGCTGCAGCGCCAGCGTGCTGTAGCGCGTGGCCGCCGCACCATTGCTGGCGTCTCCGTTCCGTGGCCAAAGCGCTGGGCCGGCAGCCTCCAGTGGCGCCAAAACCAGGCCGCGCGTCAGCAGCTATGGGAGAGTTCATTTGACGGCACCACCGGAACACTTGGCGCCACCGGTGGCTTAGCCAGTGGCCTGACCACAAGCATCACACAGCGGCTGTCTCCAGACCTCTCCGCAACCCACCAAATCTCCCTGACGGCCAACATTGGCGGCAACGTGGGCGGAACGACGGCACCGGCCGCTGTAGTGCCCGTTGCCCCGCCGGCTGCGACCACAGCGCCCAAGAAAAACGCAAAGGCGAACAAACTTGTGGGAGACGGCACCGACATCCCGCAGCAGTGGAAGTGGTTCCTTAGCCCGCGCGAGACGATATTGGAGTGGGCCATGACCAAAGCCCGCAGCGAGAAGCGGATGGAGCGGAAGCGGACGAAGAAAGACAAGGCCGCTCAGCGCAAGGCCCTCAAAGCGCTCAAGGAACAGGAGGCCAAGGTTGCTCAGAAATCGGTGTCTGTGGACGTGTACGGCCCCGGGGTAGCCACGGGCGAAGAAGTGCCACTTGATGGCGATGATGTGGTACGCACTGCAGAACAGCAGCTGGAGGCGCGGGCTCGCGCGAGAGCAGCGGCGACACTGGGGCCGAGACCGCCCGGCACAGAAGCAGAGCTGGCCGTCGAGGCAGAAGCATTTGCCGCGGCGGCAGTGGCTCCTCGCCTAGTCACCCAGTACGGCCGCGTTTGGGTGCGACCAAAGAACATGTACGGCGAAGAAGGATCAGTGGCCGCCACGGGCGACGGTGCTGCCTCCAACGTTGACAATGACAACATTGGCGATGCCAGCAGCTACTACGAAATCGGCCCAGGCGTGGCTACCTCGCCGCCTCCCTGCTGTGCTTGCGGGGTGTCGGCACCGCCCAACTCGGTGGTTGATTCTGGATACGGCCACATGGAGGCACCTGTGATTTTCGACGAGGAGGAAGAGGAGAACTGGCCGTCGTCTCTCATCCAACTCGTCTCCCTCTCCCTGACGTCAGGGACTGAGTTGCCGTCCCATGCTACGGAGTCAGCTTCTCAGGCCGCAACCACCACCGTTCGATGCTCGTGCCGATCCGGCCCACCTACTGCGGGTGCCATTTCTGAGGTTGACGGCGCCACAGAGGTTCCTGCTTCATACCGACGTCGTTCATGGGCACGTTGTGAGAGCAGCTTTGATGACGGCCGGAGCTTTGTCACCTGTCTCAGCCGGCTGTAGGTGTGGTTAACCATGAGCCTACCTAGAATAACCTTGGACGACGATAAGAAGAGTCTTGGAATGGAAAAGATAATATAATGTTAATTGTTATTGGTACAGAGGCTCGCGCCGACTGTGACTTCAACGTAACGTGGACGAAAAAGACGCTGACGTACATAGTAGACCGGTCTATTGGATAGCTGTTCTAACAAGTTCATGACACAAACTGGAATGAACGCCTCATATCTTGTCCAGCTCGCTATTGTAACTGGTGGTAATACTGTACGAAAAAGAACATTGGTGAGAGGCTAAGGGGACGTGAAAGGAGCAAAGAAACAAGTGACATTAAAACAACGTATAGGAAGAAAACAAGGTGCAAATCCATGGCCCGCCGTGACATGACGAAAGAAAAGAAAAGAAAAAAAAAAGATGAAAAGATAAAAAGCGCCGTCCCCCAAAAGCCTAAGCATCATGAAAAGAAACAGAAAAAGCCCCGTCTATACCATGTATTCCCAGTGTTGGTCGTTTAATCTTGCCGGCTGTTCTCGCCCGTCTTCCCAAAAGGCACCATCTCGTACTCGCCGGCACCGTCACGGCCTCTTCCCCGGCCGCGACCGCGAGAGAACCCTTGCTCCTCGTCGCCCTCGGCCGCAGAAGCGCCGACCCCGCCCCCATTCGAACCACCGTTTGTCGTTGTGCTGCCGCTACCGCCGCCGCCACCGCCGCCGTTGCCGGCCGCTCCGCCAAAGGAAATCGGCTGCAGCTCCCGATGCCGGCACCCCCACGTCCCCAGCGCCAGCGCCGTCCCTGTCGACACCGCCATTGTCGCCCACCACGCCAGGTTCGCCGGGAACGAGTGCGTCAGCGTCACCACACAGAGGTGGACGGCGTGCAGCGTCGCGGCAAAGTCCAGCACGAGCTTGGAGCGGCCGACAAGGTAGACAATCGAGGCGGCGCCGACGAGGCCGGCGGCCAGCCACCAAACAAAGGCCGTGAGCCAGCCGTCGGTGGTGTCGCCGCGGATGGCGCTCCAGCCAAAGACGAGGTTAAAGGAAAAGTCGCGGCCGGCGACGCGCTCGGTAAAAAACATGAGGGCCGTCAGGCTGGCGTACAGTATGGCCTGGATGATGGCGATTTGTGCGAGGATTTTGAGCGGCGGCAGCTCGCCGAGAGCGCCGGAGCGGCGCGGACGGCGACGACGCGCCATCGAATCTCTGTGAGGGCGTCGTGCGCGGGGTGTCTGGGCCAAACGTGCTAGACAGTGCTGGCCACCAAGACGGTGTAAAGGGCCGCGCCCGGAGGGTGTGTTGTGCTCCACGGGATGCGCAGCGTCGGTGTAGAAGAAGTGCGAAGCTTGACGGTATCGCGGGTTGTTTCTAGTGGGAAGGTGTCGTCAGATGTGGAAGTGGGTGCTGCTGCCGTCGATGGAGACTCTAGAGAGACACAACAAGTCTACCACAGTTCGAGTCCAGCTTCTGGAGTCGGCTATTTGTCGTTGTGCCGGTTTTCGATGTTCGCGCCGGATGTCGCGATCCACGCCAAAGTCGTCGGAAGGAAGAAAAGGGGGCAGTCAAGGACGTCGCAAAAGAAACGGGGAGTCTGGAAAGAAAGGGATCAGAAAGTGTCATCCACTAGAACACCGCTGTATCGTAGATTGCTGGTCGTCGAGAAATGCGAGAGAAATTATGAGGTTGGAGAAAGCAGAGAAACCCGATGCGTCGTCTGGCTGTTGTCCTTGGTCGGAATGGCTGGGAACGGCAGGAACAACGGACATCGAAAATGATGTTGCCTTGTTTGGGGCAACTTTGGGTTGGTGGCAGCCCTCTGAAAGACTGGTAAAATTAGGCGTCTGGCAACCCCTGGCACCGCTGTTACCAAGCTCGCCAGGTGGCCGGATCGCCCCTGTAAACGTGCGGTTGGCAGCAGAAGCTATCCTTCACCGCCTTTTTCTGCCATTACATCTGAACGATTAAATCGCTAAAGTTTTCATAGCCATGAAGCTTTATATGACAGGTGACGGCAGCTCGTAAGCGTCCGCCATCCTAGTTATGCCGCGAGTGGTGGATTATACACGATAGTAAAGGCACTCACATACTCTCTTTGTGGCGTCTCGTAATATCCTTCAGTCTGTAAAAATATGTAGAGTCTGGCGCTCTTTCCCCTCGCTGACGCATGTCCGAATAGGCAGGAGGGGCGCCCTAACAAAACGCCTTAGCGGCCGTTCGATGCGCCTTCGGAGCCTTTACAACGCCATCCCAATTACATCAGCTCACTGGCTCCATTGCAATAGCTCATTCGGCTTCAACGTCAGTCCAACTTTGCACGCTTTGCCACTTTACTTCAACCCCGGGAACCGAATAGCAAGACGACAATCAAGCATTTGTATGACGCTTTAACAGGCACTGATATTCGCCTTGTAATTGACCCTCATATCAACCTGGGACACTCTCAGGAGCACTCCCCTGAAACGTCCTGCCACTCACTTCTCACCCTTCCTCTCGCCTCTCTCATCTCTCACCTCATCTGCCATCACACCAACCCTCTTGCACGATGGGCATCTCCTCGCTCTGGGGCGGCTCCTCAGCACCGGCCACCGAAGAAGAGCGCCGCGCCCAGGCCATCCGCTCCGGTGCCGCCGTCCCCTCCCGTGCGGAGCGCAAAAAGTGCTGGGACTCGCGTGACCTCTACTTTGGCTGCCTCGACCGCATAAACGTCTACGACGCTCTCGATCCCGCCGGCGCTGCGGCTGCACAAAAGTCGTGCGCCAAGGAGAGTCAGCAGATGGACCGCGACTGTGCCGCGGAGTGGGTAAGCAAAACAACCCTCGGAACCATTTGGCACCATTTGGCACCATGCACCCCTTGTTTTTCGTCGTCTTTGTCGTGTCCCTGGTCGTATATCATCTCGCTCCCGTCGATGCTAACCTGGCAGGTCGTGCATTTTAAAAAGTACCGCCTGGCCAACCACCAAAAGGAGCAGCGGCTGGCGGCCCTCAAGGCCCAGGGCGCCTTTGAGGTGCAGATCAACAACGGCCCCGGCGACTCGGTGCCAGCCAACAAGAAGTAAGAGCGTGGGGCTGGTCTAACAGCCGGCTTTGGTAGAAGGGCGCAGCTTTGTATATTATTTGTCCTTGGGTATTCAGTTAAAAGGCGGAAATGGAGGGAAATGGCACGGAACGTGCATGAGACGGAGGTGGAAGACATGGTATGAAACGCATAAGGATGTACACAGTATACACGCCACATGAACAAAACAATTCAACTCTAGTGAAAAAAGTATGATATTCTTGGTGATGATATTTATATTGCGAGCTCTAATAATGTAAGTGTGATCTGCAGGTCCCGGCACCTCGGTGGAAAAAACACACGGCCTCTTCTTCCAGCCTTGTTGTTATCCCGCCTATATGAGGGAACCCAAGGTCGATGTTCTCTTCAACATAGTCTAATCAAGAAATTGGTACATGGCCAGCTCACGACAAGCACATACAAAGTACCAATCATTGGAGTATAGAGGAAGAAACACAAACACGCCTGTACGACGTGCATAGGTTTTAGGAGAAGACAAGTATAAAGACGAAAGAAACGGTCTTTTTATGTAAGAAAGAGGTTAAGCTAGACGGAGCCAAAACGGAGGACGTGACAAGGGCCGCTCTCGCAATTAGGAAAGAAACAGAAGAAAGAGAAACCGCAAAAAAGAAAACAATGATAGAAAAGGAGGCTCGTGTGTTTATGCAGCTGGGTCTTTTATAAGAGACAAGGGGAAGGAAAGACTAGACATAAGAAATTGACACTAGGAAAAGATGAAACTAGGGCAAGAGAGGCAATGAGGAAGAAAACGAGGGAAAAGAGAAAGGAGAAACGAGAAAGAGAAAAGAGAAAAATGTAAAGTGGTATCATGATGGAGGGAGATGTATTCGGCTTTCGGCATGACAAAGAGGGAGTGTAAGAGAAGCACAAAAAATAAGGAAATCGAAATGACCCAAACAGAAATGAGAAGAATAGAAAATAGCAGCACAAAAAGAGAAAAGGGTGGTCCGACCCAAGTCTCCTTTCATCACCACTATCCAACCGCGTATTCCAAAAAAAAATATTCACCTCTCCAGGGACAACCGTCCTTTCCTTTCAAAATCAGTTCGATCGCATGTCCCCTCTCATGCTGCACCGTCCAGTTTCGGCAGCGGCGGCAGTTCCTTGTCGAGGCTGTCCCGGCTCAGCTGCATCTTCAGTTTGCGGCCCGAACCCACCGTGCCAACTGTCCCCGACCGTGACCGTGTGCCCGACACGCCGTAGCCACTATCCGCGCTCTCGGGTTTCAGGTAGCCGGTTGCCGGCGGTGTGGGCGGGCTCGGATCTCGATGGCTGCCAACCGCACTTGCACTCCCGCCACTGAGCCTCACCGGCAGGTCTTTGTCTTTGGCAGGCGTGGCCGGCCGATCGTCGCTCGCGGCCGTGTGGCTGCTAAATCGGCTGCTGTGGCTGCGGCCGCCCGTCGACGAGTTCTCGTTGGCTTCGTCGACGATGGGCAGGACAGGCTGCTGCATGGACTCGCGGCGGTCGTTATGCGGGGGTGGTGGTGGCGGCGAGTTCGGCATGGACGGGACCGAGGACATGGGTGGCAACAAGGGGAGAGACGGGAGAGACGGCAGCGCCGGTGTCGACTGGCTGGAGCTGGAGGAGCCGGCCACGAGACCAGGCAAAAGCGTGCCGTTGCCAATGGGGACCGTAGTTTGTGTTGTTTCGGTCTCGTTGGCTGCTGAGGCCTTTTGGGCCTCAAACTCAGCTGCGCGGTGGGCCGTCGTCACGTTGCTGCTGTCGACGCCACTGTTGTTACCGTTGCTGTTACCATGGTTGCTACCACTGCCGGAGGCGCCTCCGCGGTGCCGTAGGTTGCCTGACCAACCACCGTGCAGATGGTGGCCGGCGGCGTCTACACCCTTATCGCGGCCGCTCGCCGTGGCCACGCCGTCAAATCCGGATCCGGGACCGTCGCCCGCATGACCGCTTGTGTCTGCATTTGGTGCA